TGAATTGGATTAATGACAATCAGAAAAAAAGAGAGATAGGAATCTATGAGTTAGTTTTAAATTGAAAAGTCAGTGACCAGTGCTAAAGAGGTGGGTTTATTCATAGAAACATAGAGTGAAAAACTTAAAAGACCCTGTAAAGATCTCCTAACCTAATTCCCTGCCCAGAGCAGAAATCCTCAGACTACTGTAAATGACTTTCTGAATTTTCCTTCAAAACCTCCAGTGATGGAGATACACAAGGCAGACTAGATTTAGCAATAATTCTTATAACCATGAACTCGTTGTCAGGATTCGAAACAGCATCCAAAAGTAAATCAGAGCCCAAGGCAAAGTATTGCTCAAAGTTCCAATTTATTAAGAGAGTCATGTTGGCACATCTGGGAAAACCCAAATCTGAAAGCTTCCCGGTTTTCCCCACCCAGTTGAAAGTTTATGATTTTGCCCCCACACCCACAAATCCATCACATGGTCCAATCTTCCACTGCCACGCTGGCAGCTTCCACCCATTCTGTTCCGGTCAGGTGCAGAGGTGTAGACAAAGGATGACCTTGGCTTTCTAGAAAGGAATTTTATTTTGGCTACATAGCATCTAACGCCGTACAATTCCCCACTCCCATTTTCCCACAATAGAATAGGCATAGTAGAATAATAGAAAGTGTGGCAGGCCAAAGATCCAAAAGGAATGTGGCTGCAGGCCTGACAACTGCTTTTGAAATTGAAAATTAATGTTGCTGAAAATATTTGAAGTCATTATCTCTCTTTTCCTTTCCTTAAGTTTCTACGACTGTGTATAAATGTGTGTCCAGAAGGTTACACAGACAGAGAAATATTTATATTGCTACTGCTACTATTTAAATTAAGTTTGGAAACAGAACTGAAGCAATTTCCACTAGTAGACTTGGAGTGCCTTATTATAAAATTGCTTGAAAGTGTCAGAAACTGGGATAATGAGGTAACTTAATTTCTGCTAATTTAATGCATTTTTGGAAGATCCAATTTTTAATATTATAAAAACTCTTAGCATCAATTACCTTAGGCTTTCTATAAATTACCGTATTTTTCAGAGTATAAGACGCACCAAGGTTTTGAAGAAGCAAATTTAAAAAAAAGTAGGTAGGTAGATAGATAGAGGGATAGAGAGGGAGAGAAAGAGAGAGAAATACAGTAGGTAGGTAGGGAGAGAGAGTGAGTAGTTAGGTAGATAAAGGGAAAGAGAGAGAGAAATAGAGAGAGATAGAGAAATACAGTAGGTAGGGGGCGAGAAAGAGTGTAGGTAGGTAGATAGGTAGAGAGATAGAGAGAGAAATAGAAAGAGATAGAGAAATACAGTAGATAGATAGGGGGAGGGAGAGAGAATAGGTAGGTTGGTAGGTAGAGAGGGAGAGAGAAATACAGTAGATAAGTAGGGATAGAGAGAGTAGGTAGGTAGGTACACAGGTAGATAGAGGGGGGAAGAGAGAGAAATACAGTAGGTAGGCAGAGGGATAGAGAGAGAAATAGAAAGATAGAGAAATACACTAGATTGGTATGGGGAGAGAGGGAGTAGGTAGGTTGGTAGTTAGAGGGATAGAGAGAAATATATATATATATAGATAGAGAGAGAGAGAGAGAGAGAGAGAGAGAAATACAGTAGGTAGGTAGGAAGAGAGAATGTGTAGATAGGTAGAGGGATGGAGAGAGAGAAATAGAAAGAGATAGAGAAATACAGTAGGTAGGGGGCGAGAAAGAGTGTAGGTAGGTAGATAGGTAGAGAGATAGAGAGAGAAATAGAAAGAGATAGAGAAATACAGTAGGTAGGGGGCGAGAAAGAGTGTAGGTAGGTAGATAGGTAGAGAGATAGAGAGAGAAATAGAAAGAGATAGAGAAATACAGTAGGTAGGGGGCGAGAAAGAGTG